AACGAAAGGAGAGCTTTTGGCGCACGCAGCTGTTCCGCGGCTAGCCTTCGGACTCCATAAGACCTGCTGGCAATGGCAGATCCCAGATATGTCGTCGCATCGCCATGGAAAATGGCGGGGGCTTCCACAATTCCGCGATGGCAAGATGCACAACCATTTCCAATCTACACCGGCTGTCCATCGCGATGGGTGTCGATCGTTGCCTCAGAGCCTGAACAAGGCTGGACACTCTACCCTCCCAGTGCCCTGAAGTCTGCCAAAAGGGGCCGCAGCCGTGTGTTGGGCCATTCCGGAACCGGGAACCTAGTTTTTGGCGGGCGGAGGATGCCCTGGGAGCATCCAGATTCTGGACTGAAGTAGCGCAGGTTCCATGCATTGCCGAACGCGCTGTGCTTAACCGTCACTTCTGAACTTTTGGCAACAAACGACACATGTACATAAGGTGTTTTGTTGTGGCTGCATGTTCAAGAAAAACAAACAAGCACCTCACACGATTGCAGCCTCCCAACAAAATGTTTCATTTAATTCCCGGACAGAGGGAGCATACAAAAGAGAATAGATGCCTACTTTTGTGCATTAGCATTTCGAGCTGATAAGACTGAAATATCGAACTATAAGCCCCCACCCGTGTTGCAATCGAAAATGTACTGATCAAAGTGACATGAACCACCCACACGGCCAAATGTTTCCAATCAATATGCGGTTCTCCACTGCCCAGCAAGATAAAGAACTGCACTGCTAGGCAAAGAGGAATTCACAAGAAGAGAAGTGCGTTCAACACAAACATCAAAACACCTGGCAGTCCTGCTGTCATTGTTGATGATGAAATACTCGCCGATTCTGACAAGGTCTGTGTTGTGAAAACACGTGCAAAAAGCACTGGGATACTTTACTATCTTCCATCAAAAGAAGAACACATGGTGCAAAACCCTACTGTGGACCTTGAAGCTGCCGATGACGTGACATTATTCACTGATCGCAAACAGTGGATATGTGCTGATGGCGACTACTGGCAAATTACTGTTGACGCGACATGCTTGCCCCAAGGGTGCATGCAGTCCTTCTGAAATGCACCAACAACACCACACAAAAACAGTCACATGTTCTTGCTGTTACCACCATCACATTTGGTGTCCCATCTTGACACATTACTGAGCACACACCAATGAAATTGGTGCAGCAACAAACTACTGAGTGTCTTATCGCGTTCACGACATATCGAGCAAAGCCTGCAAAGCACGCACCACTTTGCCACGGGGCCACACCTTTCCTCAACTCCTCCAGCTGGTGTTGTGGGATGCCAGTCTACTGTGTAGTAGTCAAGCTGTCTGTAGTCGTTGACAGTTTCCGTTGTGCTGGCAGACTGCGTCCATTGGGCATGCGTACAGTGAAACATACATGGTTGCAAAGGACGGCTTTTCAACACTATGTCAACAACTGGCAGGCGAAATGCACCATTGCACAAGGAAAACTGCAAAGCTTGGGTGCTCATAGGTATGTTGGCAATGTGCAAATGTGAATAATGCAGTTGACACCCTCGCAAACGCCTGTGTGGTCACGTCGCTGCAACATAGCTGTGTAAAAAGGTGTCTGGTAGTGGTTGAATTTGCAAACTGCAACAAGGAAGTGTCAACCAAACTTCTGCAACAGACGGTCTCATAGCCCTTGTGTTATGATCAAAAGTGAAAGAACATGTCCTGAAGGCTCTACTCTGAAGCTCAGAAACGAGTCCCCCAGAATGCTCACCCTGGTATCCGACACTGTCCACTCTTCCTCGCTGGTATCAACCTTGCCCTCGTTGTCAACTTCCTCCCTCGCCCCTGATCCGTTGCGCCATTCCACCTTCTGGTCCCACGGGCCCAGCCTGAGAGCAGTCGGCACGTGCACATTGTTCAGCAGCGGCTTGTCCAGTTGCCCCACAGGCTCCGCCAGTACCTGAGGGTCCAAAAGCACGCGGCACCGTGCCAGCATCTGTGAGCGCCACTGTAGTGCAACGTATGTGGAGTACCTGCGTGTGGCAGAAAGAAGTAAGCAGACATGCATGGATGCTTTCTTAAGGTATTATTATCATGATGACTATGATCAACTGACAGAATGACTGGTAACATTCATCCACAAAAATAACCCGACTGTCAAGAATTGATGGGGTCCAAATGACCAAAGCTCGCTTGCAGAGGAAAGCACCAGGAAACTGCCAAAATGACCAAATCCTTGAAATCGCTGGCAGCACATCCCAGGCAACTGGCACAAGTGTAGCAAGAGCACTGTCAGCAAAATGCTCTGGGGAAATCCAAACACACCTCACTTGTGCTTCAAATAGCTGTCACCGATCTGACAGCGCTTAATCAATATCAACAATTAAAAAGTGCTGCGTTAAAAGTGCAGCCTTGAACTTGCCTTGCTGTGCTGCTGTTTGGATGGCCTTTCAGTTTGTTACCGGTGTCCATGATGTCTGAATTTGCCAGGAGCTTCAGCGGCATGTAGAGCGAGCCCAACTCCTTGAGGGCCTCAAGGCACTGCCTCAGCCTTTGGCCACTGCCCTGCTGGAGCAATGGTGGTGCGTACCACACTTATCAATGCGATGTGAATGCCTGTTGTCAAACGTATTCTCATGAAGAGTCTCTGAGCCAATTTGCATTGCCTTTAAGGGAGGCGGGGTCCATGGAGCAGGGTGTGCTCCTTATGACCTGGCTCAAAGGGCTCTGGCAGCGCCCTACCATTATTCCTCTGATGTGGACATGCATCGCCCTCACAGTGCCCACTGCTCAGAGGAATAATGGACAACTGCCACAGGAGACAAGATACAAGCACCACATAGACACACACATTCTGCTAGTGATGGGCACCTTCTGTATCAGAATCCAGATAAGGACAAGTGGGCCACTGATAGTGAGACCGTCCATGCACCATGAGCGAACACTGCCTGCATAAGGGCCCACAAGAGGGAGATGCAGTAGCACAAAAATTGGTAGCCAGTTATCTGTCATTGTTCCACAGCAAATTGACACCACATCGACAACCATGTACTTGTTTAGAAAAGTGCACTATTGAAAAGTGAGGAAAGTTGCTCTTGGCATGCCAGCCATCCACACGTCAGTCTGCAAACGAGCTGAATTAATCCGAAGTGAGCTAAACCGAGAGGGTATCTGAACTAAAGGAAACTCAATTACTGTCAAGGAGACATCTTATGGCTTTCATGAGGCTCCCACCTGGGCCTTGCCCTCCTGGCGTGGCGAACTCTCCTCAGTTCCTCCTCGACCTGCCTATGCCATCTCGCTCAATATGCAGTGCCAATACTCCACAGTGCTGACGTGGATGGCATGCACAGCAGCACACCTGACGCGCAAAGCACAGTATGCCTCTACGAAGTGCAGCCACACTGTTGCATCATTTGGTGCTGGTGCACAACAATGCAACATAATGCAGCAGAGTACGATGCAACTCGTGCCCACAGCACTGCAACAAGCATCCCCAGTGCATCTAACAATGTGCGTCATGGTAAAGTACATGGGCAACGACACATATGATAGCAGCAACACAGTGCCGTTGTTAACCACACCATCATCCAGGCATTGTTTTCTAGGACTAGTCGATACTGTCAAATCCGCACTTGAAATAAATTGTGTCCATTGCCACCAGCCATAATAACAAGAATCGTTCAATGTCCAAAATTCAGGCATTCAACCTTTTTGGTGGCCAGCAAACATGACGTGTGTGCCGACCTGCTCTTCAAAGGGTGCCTCCTTGAGCCCCGCAAAAGATGGCAGTGCACCAGCCCTGCTACCATGTACAATGCGCTCATGTCAATGCTGTACATTGGACAAATTCCACAATCTTGCAAGTTTGGAAGTTTGAAGACGGTTTGTTAAATCCAAACATTCACACCATGCAACGTCTGCAGAGTTAATACCCGGGCAGTTTATTATAGCGCGATGAAATCTGGCAACTGCAGGCACCATGCACATGCTGACCTGCTCTTTGGTGGGTGCCTCCTTGGGCCATGCAAAGAGACGTCAGTGCAGCAGCCCTGCGGTCCTTAGCTTCAGCAACCATGGTCATCTGTCTATCCTGTAGCCAGCGTGCCTGGAAGTTTTCACCAGCAGCTGCCTCCTCTGAGGCCAACAGTCGGATCCTCTTTCGGTAGCACTCCTCCGCTGCGCTGGACAGCCTATGCTGGCAATCAATGCTTGATTGGCAAAAGTTTGATCATCAACAATGTGGTCAATACGAGTCAAATTGTACAACAGAAGGCTGCTGTTTGGAGTTACCTGTCATCAATACCGTGGTCAAATAAGTCCACCATTTGGGATAGTTCCCCTAAGTGTATGGTACACAGGATCAACTTTGCAGCATGTTGGGCAGATTAATAGTGCAGCTGCACAGCATGCAAATTCCTCTGAACAAGGGCTGCTGCGAAAAATCTTGCCCATGCTGTGGACGATGACACACATGTTTGTTGAGATGAGCACCTCCTGTCAACCCTCTAACAGAAAATTCCAGCGCAGACTTACTCTCAACAATGCTGTGCACACACTGTGCAGCAATGGTGATAAATAGTTCTAGAGCTGCCATTTGCATTCGCACGTGCTGTTCATATTCAGGACCCACCATGTCAGCTCACACACGAGAAAAAAAGGAGCAGAGAAGGGGCAGCATGAGCTTATCAATTCTGAGCCATCGCCTGTGGACATGCACCACTATGACAACAGGGAATTGGGGTGCGCACGAGTAGACAGTGCTGGCTGCCTTACGGCAATGGGATCATGCACCTTCCTCCTTGCATATGCAGGCGAATCTCTTGACCGATTCAAAACATGAAGGCAAGTTTTTAGTGAGATTCTCTCTTAATCGCACCTTTTCTAAGTTTGCCAGCCCCAACAAGGCCCAACACCTGCATGCCGGTCCGCCCTTCATTCACCCCCCTTTTCCTTTTTCCCTCTATCCCGACTCATCTCCTCTCGCCCCCCCTGTTTCCCTTGCAAAGCTTCACCTCAACCCACCTTTTCCTAGTCCGTGAGAGTCTTGAAAGCTCCAGCAACTTGGGCTCCACCACGTCCAGCACGACAAAGCGTGGCCGGGCCCTCTGGTCCCCACTGGGTTGGTCGTTCAATAGTCCCTTCTGCTCGTGCTCCGTGGCTGTGAGGGCATCGTGCGTCAGCCACTGCTCGAGCCAGTTGTAGACGCGGGACACGTTTCTGCAGGTCAAGCTGGAGGCAGAGGCGAAGGGCTCTACCCGCAGGTTTTGGAGCTTTTGCTGATCATTACAACAAACGATGTGCTGGTAATTCGAATGCAATAGCGGCCAAACAGCAAATGTACACGCTCACAGAACCAATTTGCAGGTCCATCCATAGTAAGGAGCAAGACGATTTGTTGTTGCTTCAGGCCCAATCAGTCAAGTAATCTGGCCTTTCTGTGTACAGCAAGCTTCAATCCTGGTCAATCCAATGCATAACACGTTAGCCCAAGCCCGATTGAGTGGAACACATTCCAAATTTCAAGTCAACAGTGTGAGCTGGGGCTGTCCAGGCCACACCACATGACGCACCTGGGCGACAACATGTTTAGTGCAGTACTTCATGCAACTGGCCTCACCGCGGCGTATTGGTAATGTCCATCCATGGCATGGCTCTCTCGCCCACCACCGCCAAGTGCTCTTTCCCATACTGATTGATGAGGAAAAACCTGTTGGACTTGCGGCCATCGGTGCACTGAACACGCTCCTGCCTGCGCACAAACAAATCAACACAGTCACCAACTAAGAGCTCATGGATGCCAGATCGAAAATGTGGCACATTCATCGAATTCGCACATGATAATACCATTAATGAATTATTCACCTGAAACACCTAGGTTTCAGCCCGTACATGCTTCAAAAATGTGGTCCACAGAGAGTGCTGATACAGGGTGCTTGGCTGACGTCTGCCGGAACAGAACAAAGCACTGGGCTATGTGCCACTGCTTGTATTGCTGCAGGACTGGTCAAATGTGAAGCTAATTGTACTGCTGAAGTACCGGGGAAACGTGCTGCAGACCATACTGCAAGACTGTAATCACTTGTACAGCCAAAATATTGGGGGGATGGGCCTCTACATGTACTGATAAGGCACTGTATCAAGAGGATTCTTGGCAGAAAGTGTGACAGTGGCATTCTGCCATTTTTACACTCCAGCGAGTACTGATAATTCTCACTTCTGGTCGACAAGCAGAGGCCCTCCGGGTGGGTTCCTGTGGGCGTCATCTTCCCTACACCTGCCTTCTGCTTGCTGCGGACTTGAGTCTGAGAACTTCGAATGATCTTCTCCAGCCTGGAGGTCCCAAGCGACACAATAAAGCGCTCAGCCGCCGCAACATACCAGCAATCGTAATGTGCACACAGCGCCGACGAAAAGGTGCCCATCGCATGCAGATAGGCCCAGCCGTGAATACTGTATAAGTAAAAAAGTTCGCGCGGGAAAAAAGTTCGCGCATTTCGCGCTCGAGCAACTGCGCGAACTTTTTTCCGCGCGAACATTTTGCCCCCGCGAATCTTTTTCGCCCGCGAAGTTTTCGGCCTCCTCCCAAATGGGTCGGGCGCTTCCCGCGCTTTGGCCCGTTGGCCTTGCACAACGACGACTGCCCCGTGCGGCGGTCTTTGACGAGCAGCGACTGCCCCGAAGGAGTCGTGAGCTGGCGAGCAGATCGCTCGCGCCGGTGGCCATCGGCCAGCCGAATCTTGGCAGCGAGGAGGCGCCATCTCCCTGACCAGGCGGCTCTATCCTCCTCCCAGTTTCTAGTCCTGCAAGAGCCTAGCTCGAGCCCCGTCCAGCGACTGCCCCGAAGGAGTCCTGAGTTGGCCGGCAGATCGCTCGCGCTGGATCGATCGCTGGTGGGCCATTGGCCAGCCGAATCTTGGCGGCGAGGAAGTGCCATCTCCCTGACCAGGCCGCTCGTGCTATTCGTCTGCGGCAGGCGGAGGGTCAGGACGGCGGCCGGGGGGCGGCACAGCACAATAATAAACGGCGCACCCCCTGGCGAAGGTCAAGGGCGGCAGGAGCCCGGTTCCGCAATGTTCGCGCGGCGAAAATTTTCGCGGGCGAAAAGAGTTCGCGGCGGAAAAAAGTTCGCGCACCGACGAGTGCGCGAACTTTTTTCCGCGCGAAATACGCGAAAAATTTTCTGCGCGAACTTTTTTACTTATACAGTACTACAAATTATTCTTCTGCAGCATCATCCAGGAACCTGCTGCACAAAGCAGCTCACCCTGCATCCTTCTGTTCAGGTTTTCCTATCTCTTCACATAATTCACCTTCCTTTCTATTTCTGTTCAGATTTTCTCACTGTTTCCCTTGAACAAATAGATCTGTAATAGTTCATGCGTAATAACCCTTACCACTTTATCAACTCCCTTCTCTTTTGCGAATCCAGTTTTCCATGCTGATTAAAGCCCTTCGAATTCTTGTACAGGTAGTGGGCATCGCCCTGGTCTTCGGCTGTTGCCGCCAGCACCTCTCTTTCCTTGTCGTCGATCAGGAAGAACTTTAGAAACTTGCCTGCGCCCTTCTTCATCATCACTCGAACCTGTGGATGCACACTGACGCAGCTTCAACCATGTTCCAGTTTTGAGCTTGGCAGGCAGGGAATGCAACAAGAACATGGAGTCCAGCAATAATCGAAGGTATAAAGAGCGAATGAACATCATTCAGAACTCTCCATGTGCGACACGAAGAAGAAAGAGCAGCAGGAAAGGAGGCAGTCTGCAGTCGGGTGGGAGGTGCGTGGTGTGCTGTGTGCAGCGTGGGTGGGACGCTGTAGGGTATGGAAGGGCTGGTGAAGCGAGAGGGGGCATGGGGGGGTGGGAGGTTAGGATTTGCTACAAAGAGAAAGAGAAGCGGGCCATGAAAAGGGTGCCCCCTCCTATGCAAGTGTGCGTGAGGCTCTTTTACCTGCTGAGAAAAGATGATATAGAGCCTCTGAGGGTGGGTGTGGAGTGGGGTTGTTCTTGTTGCTTTGGTGTTGGCAACGTCCTCACAAGCAGAGGTGCGCAAAAGGGTGTGTAAGTTTGACATAAGCATGACTAAATACTGACCAAGAGGGGGGAGATCGGGTCATTTGGCACCAGGCCGATGGCAGCAACGCCCAGATACCAGCAGGCAAGTGCGCCCATCCGTTCAAATCGAGCAAACTGATACACTGCTGCTGGCCACAGTCACATATCAATGGGCTTTCCATCCTGCACCATGTGGCCCTGCTCCTGCCCATCCACTGCACTGGGATTGGCGATCGACGACTCCTTGGCCAACACCGCCGCCGATCAGACAACAGCCCTGCCCACCCATCGATCCAACAACTGTGTGTGGAACTCCAACCCCAGGAAAGCATTGGAAGATGATCCTTCCCCAGAACCAATGTACTGAGCCAGGTTCCATTCCGTCGATTCCGCTGGAACTGGCGATTGACGGCCCCCTTGGACAAATTTCATCTCATGCTAGACCGCGTCCCTGCCCGCCCTTCGGATCCCAGCAACTGTTCTCAACTCAGACTGATCGGGAGGCGACACATTTTACCACACCACTTTTTGCACCAGGTTCCATCTTGTAGATTGCCTTGGGATTGGCGATCGAAGGCTTCTCCGAGAGGTTCACCTCATGTTACACCGCGTCCCGGTCAGCTCGTTGAAATCCAGCGGTTGTTCTTGACCCAAACGGACTGCGAGGCCACCCATTATCCAAAACCATTTTTCGAAATAGTTTCCAGCCCGTCGATTCCGCTGGGGTTGGCGATTGACAGCCCCTCCAACGAGTCTCACCCCATACCAGATCGCGTTCTTGCCTGCCCATCGAATTCCAGCGGCTGTTTTCGAATCAATCGGATCGGAAGACGCCCCATTCCCCATTTTTGGACGCGGCCCGACGCGCCTAACGCGTTGGAATTGGAGATCGATGCATCCACTGGCCGCCGTCCCGGCCAATGTGGCGAGTTGGTCAACGAAGGGTGTTTCCGATCGCAATGCCGGTCGATTTTCTGAAAGCTAGCAGAGTCCGCGGACGGGAATGCACCCGAGTGCCCCTCCTCGCGATGCGTGGTGTAAGTCGCGCAGTCCAGTCCCAGCGCCGCCTTCACGTCCTCTTCCATCGCGAAGCGTCGCGCTCCCGTCGCCGGGCGTCGGTTCGCCTGTCAGGGCCGTGGGCGCCGGTGGGCGTTGTGGAGGCAACTTAAGGCACAAGGGGCCAAGCCGAGTTGCGCTTGCCGATGGACGTTGGATGTTTGAAACATATACGATGCGGTGTGTAAGGTAACGTGGAGGTTTGTAGTGCTGCCGAGAGCGTTTGAGGAGGGCCATCGCGGGCGGTACATACACGGCAGTACTTGACTGTTGTTCGCTGTGGTGCTGCGAACGGTGTGGGAGGTGTGTGCCCCATGTCAGGTACTACCATGTACTACCATATACTGCGGTAGTATCGTGGCGGGTGCTGTGCATGAACAGTGGTGCCGTGTGTGAACTATTCACACAGCGAGGCTCCATCAACTGGGTGACAACCTCTCTACCATGGCGGCTATCCGAGGGCATCCCAATCCGCTGGAGCGCCCTCTCATCCAGCAAGGGTTCGGGGAAGCTTCCCTTGCTTTGAGACGAATCTGGATACTCAAATCCAGAGTAGGTGGTTTTGTTATGCAAACAACCATGGTTTGACATTGCATCTCTCCTTACTTTCCCAAGTTGAATACCGCATTTCGTTTCCACAATTGACATTGGAGGAAAGGGCCAACCTCCGGCGACGCCACCGGCGATGGCACCGCGACCCCCGGCGACGTTGCCAAAAAGTGGGGGGACGGGAAGGGGCGTCGCCAGGTAGCAGGAAGCGCTTCCATCGCCGGCCGGCAGAGGGTTCCCTCGCCAAAAGCGTCGCTGGGCCGCCGCGTCGCCGGGGGTCGCCAGTATCCGTCGCCAGGGGCAAGAAGAAGTTGCCGTTGAAGCGGATTGACGAAACCCGTGGTGTCTATGCGGTATCCGAGGGCACACGTTTGAAATTGAGTCAATGTACTAGCTGTTAGTATTGTACTAACGGTGGGGTTTTGGGACCACATTTGCCGAAAGGATGCAGTTGGATTTTGAGCAAACCGTGTATGGATTGTGTCGCATGGCATGTTTCCCTTAGTGTATGGTCATGGTGCTCTGGCAGGTGTCCGCTAAAGGTGACGCCATCCTCGATTAACATTAATTGTTCTATGATCTCGCATTTCTTGTGCCGCATTGCAGGGACATTGAGCAGAACCACTTTTGATTAATTATCGGTTTTGAAATATGCAGAAGTGAAAATTGCAAGCATGAATATCAAAGCACCAATGCCATACGTTGAGCAAACAATGGCACAATGCATAGTCGAGTTGGGTTTTATTTTGTATTCAGTACCGCAGACGTGTTAATTTATTTCCCTTGTTGACGAGCTACAACGCTGACGCCCACTTGCCTAAAAGGATACCACTATTGACCTCAAAGACCCCACATCGCCAGTAGCAGTACGTGCATCGTGCGCTGTGCTTTATGGCAAACTACTGGCATTTAATAGTTGTGTTCTGCATTTCTTCCATGAAAGTTTAGCACCATTGTGCGTTTGACGCACAAAAATGCTCTCCATGACCCTTGGCAATAGAAGGATCATGGCGAGCATGAAAGCAAGGCAGTACAGCAAGTCGAGGTCAATCTCCACCTCAACTTAGAGAGGCTCGAATGATCTGTTTGTTGCTTGCGCAGAGTGAACGAACGGCTTTGCTTTATGCTGCTGGCAAGGAGCTCGTTGGCATAGGGGACATGCTGCTAACTCTTGGGGCAGATATCCGTAGACAGAAAGCTGAGCGAAATATCCTGTTATTGAATCTAGTTGCAGCGCCAAGCCAAGCGCGAGTTTCAGGACCGCAATATGGTGGGCTGCACGCCAGTGACGATTAAATGGTAAACGTGCCAACGAAACGAGCTTTTTGGTGACGCAATCTCCTGAAGCACGAAATCTTCGGCAAGAACGGTTGGGAGAATTAAGGCATAGAGACTGGGGCAAGAATACGCAAAGCAACCACAAGATATACACAAATTTAGCTCTTGAAGGCACAAAGGGCACTTGAGAACTGTTTCAAATTATTTGCTGGAGCAAGTTGTTCAACATTTAGTAAGTGCTCTCCTGGAAGGTTGTGGCTGTAGGCCCGATATATGTCTGCCGACTGACCACGATGACATGCTTCTGTTGGTCGACAATGTATTCAGCAAATGGGGACTCCATGAGAGCAGACAGCTCAATGCTGATTCATTCCGGTCCAGCATTGCGGTCCTTGATTCATGGCGGCGGGCTTCATCGGAGCGACACCAATCTGTTTGTGAATTTCGAGTCCCCTCTCGTCAGTTGTCATTGCAATGACATAACAAAGCCGCATTTCGGTTCCATGTACAGGAGGGAAACACGTTGCTGTTGCATGCAGCCCATCACCGTCGGGGTGCCGTCGTAGAAAAGCTCCTAGCTGCTGGCGCAGAAAAAAGCCACAAGAACAAGGTATGGCACCTGCTGCAAAATCAGGCCTTGTGTGCCGTCGTCACATGGAATGGAATGGAAATCATGGACTGCCATTAATTTCTCATCGTCCCCTTTCTTCCCGAGTTGCGTCGCCAGAGCGCAAGGCCCTCGTGGTGAAGTGCAATGCTGGGTAAAATCTTCGCTGTCTCTGCTGATAAAGCCTGACGCACAGGGCACATAACGCGAGGCGCTTTGGCGCAACAGCGCAGCTGCGAGCCTATGAAGCAGCCATTCGTGCAGGCTCAGTCTCCTTGTTCGATACTCGTGACCGAAAATTGGCTCTGACGAGGTCGCTCATATTTGCTGCGCATCGCGAGTAATTTCGTTGACAGTACTGGCGTTGTGATAAGGCAATGCCACCATGTCCGTCGAATTCAGATACAAGTCAGTCTGGCGCAATCATGCATTGTACAGTCGCATTTCGGCCATTGGCGGCAGCTTCATTCCGAACCCAAATCTCTGCTGCATGATTTCTCATGTGCAAACTCAAATTGCTCAACATGTGCTTTTGGTTTCTGGAAAACTATTCCGAATTGGTGCCTGACTGACTTCACACTTTCTGCCAACAGGTTGGGAAGGTTGCGTTTGAGCTGGTCGCCCAGTACGATTACTGGGCTAAGCGCGAAGAAGCGCTGCTGACATTTTGTTGCATCGCGGTGTGAATAGATGAAACGGGTGGGTGTCGAAGATGGCCGGCGCAACTTGGAAGTGTTCGGGTCGCCAATAAATGGGGCCATCAAAAATTTAGTAAGTTAAGGATATAGCTCAGCTGGCGACCCGTACGATCCAGAAATGATGCAGAGGGGATGTCGACAGCCTCAGCACCTTCGCCACACTGATTGCCATCCAGTAGGCTGGCGGTCAATGAGGAAGAAACCACAAAACAACGACCAGGGGTGCTCCAGGATTGTCCAGCAAATCAAGCCCAAGGCATTCAGAACGCAAAGAGATGACGCCAGTGACAGAGAGACTACGGCAGCCTCACTAGATGCCCAAAGAACCTAAAGC